TTTGCAGGAAATACTAGAGATAGAAAAACATGTTAAATGTCCTTGTGAGATAGGGTCAGTAAGAATCAAGAGTGAGAAACTTTAGAGCAATAGACCTAGTTTTTTCAGCAATTAAATTACACGAAGAAGGAGGGGTATTAGGAAAGGGAAACCTATAAATTAAAAAACTGATGAGACGAAGCGCGAGGTGTACAACATATCAGAGCCTCTTGTATCCTGAGTCCATCAAATCAAGACAGCTTCATCAGGCCGATGGGAAGGGGCAAAGGCGGACGCGGGCCGTGGAAGTCCGTGGGTTCCCTTCAGGAGTCTCGCATCGGCCTTTTGAAGAAAAGGCCAGTTTACGATAGAGCACACATCGAATACATTCGATCTGAGCACAGATCTCAAGCGCTCGTAACCGAGAAGAGTGACATTCACTTGGCCGAACTGCGCAGATTTACTCTTGTTCAACCAGGAAAACACGGGAGTGTGAGAAACCATGAGGTGTGCTTCCAAACTGGGCTACAAATAAGCACGTGTCAATTTTTATGTATTTACTTGCAAAAAGAGAGCATGATAACCCCCCAGGCTCTGTGTCTCCATATAGTAATTAATTTTTCAGGTTTGTAATTAAACAGTTTCAATACGTTGCCATCAGGAGGTAATAACATTCAATTAAAGGCACAGGACACATTTTCACCTTAAAATGTTTTTACCCTTGAAGTAATACCAATGGAAGAGGATAAAATAGGGTATTAACACTTTTCAATTACGCTAAATGACTTTAATCCTGCAAATGACGGCCCACTTTAATTGGAAGCTCTTCTCTTTATTGCAACGTGATGGATGTCCACTTTATGAGATTCAAGTGTGACACTGTAAGCCCACTTTACATAAACATTGCCATGTTATTAAAGTCCTCCTGAAGGGAGTGATGCTTGCTAGCATGTCAGGAATGTAATTTCAATATGCTATTGACCTCTTTCAAAATGTGTACTGCTACCCAAGGCGAGGCATTTTCACGCAATTTGAGAATCCGCTGCGTCTCCCAAAGAAGAACCCAAATGTATTCCTGAAACAAGCCCTCTAAAAGAGAAGGGTCTACACTTTAAAGCCGCCTGAAATGACTCGAGAGTGCGCACTTTCCGACAAGTAGCCATTAGAATACTGATTTGCATAGCCCCAGTGCATCAGATGGGCTCTGCTCTCTCTTCTTCTGCAGTGCGATACCAGTCCACCTTCTAAATGATCCGTTGACACGCACAACGGCGTTTGAGCGAGGTGGGTCCAGCATCTCAATCCCCTGCCTGTGTGACACGGGCAGAAGAAAATGGATCACAAGGAAAAACCGGGAACCCTACGTGGCACGTTGTACCTTGATGTGCCGGGTGTCCCATTAGGGCTGACTGGCATTATCACAGCCCATGTCGAGGAATATGGACCACTAAGCTCAGGCCCTCCACTCTTTCTGCCGATGCTAGTCATCGGTCACCATAAAAATGGGAGACTGCGGACGGTAAGACCAATTCATTTTTCCTAATGTCCCAATTCATGGTTTGAAAATTTATAATTTGCTCAAGCACTTCTGTCATATTCTCGTTCACAGTCATTCTCTGTATCCATCTATCTTCTCTCTCTCTCTCTGTCTCTCTCTGTCTCTGACTCTCTGATGGGAGGGAGATAGGTGAATAAAATAGAACTGGACATAAGATTATAATACAATCAAAGTACTTAACTGGAATTCTGCATGACTCTTAACCTTACTATCTCTGGAATTATACACCCCTTTGTCAAATACAGGGGGAAAAGACACTCAAATGCTATGTAGGTATTACTTGTTTCAAAACCAATTGGAAAACAATGTAGCGTTTTTAGAACACCATGTGTTGACTGAAAGACAGGCCAATACATGCATCACACCAAACTTGGAGATGTTTTAAAGGTTGCGATCTGCCCGTGGTAGTCCCATCTACATAATAACAAGAGATGTTAGATTGGCTTTCACTCACTCCATGGACTTAAAGTGTGAATCTGCAACAATCCAATGACTTTACTTACTTCTGTTGCCTATCAGTGGCGGGACATCTCGCCTGACCTTTGCAACATGTAAAGCAATTTTACATATCAACTAATCTACTCCCTTAATCTTCCTAACTCGTGTAAAGTAGAGCGGGTTTTCCCCATATTCTAGGTTTAGAAAATGAGCCTCGTGAAGTCCAAGGGCACTCCAACCAAAGATCATGCAGTGCCTTTTGCAGCCACTCCTGCTCAGGTGCATGTGGGTGTGTGCACACATAACTCTGTCGTGTGCTTTAGAGTTCAGGATGGCTTTATCTGAAGACGGACTCTGTAAGCAAAGGGCCAGAGACTTCCACTGGTCTGTGAGCAGACACCCCGTGTACAGTGACTGCACCTTGAAGCGGGTCTGGGCACGGAAGCTTAGCTTGCTTCGGTTGCAGTCCGAGGCCTTTGCTTAGTTCCGTCACTAACCACAAGGGAAATGGATCCCACAGGGAGCACCGAGTGAGAAAGAAGACCCGTCTGTGCATCCAGACTGAGTGGTGAAAATGGCCAGCCTGGGGTGTTTTCAGAATGTACTGGAACCCACTGCAATGCCAGACGGTGGCTGATCCAAGCTCCTCTGCCTCCCTGGCCAGAAGAACATTCGTGGGTCTAAGCAATAGGTTCTCTTCATGTTGCCTGGAACACTGTCCATCTCTGGCGTGGATGGCAGACTCCCAGACTTTTAACAATGGTACCCATTATTCCCCAGGAAATTCTTAGCAATAGCAGGGAAGGGAGAGACCACCAGTAGGTCTCTTGTTGAGAACCCTCATGCCTAGCAATGAGTTGTTCTAGAATGTCAAGAAGAAAGCTATCTCTGGGTTCCTTAGGAAATTGTGATACATTCTGTGGTAAAATCTGCATTTTTAAAAAATCTAACTTTAGCTGGAGATTTCACTCGTTGCCCAAGAACCTAGAGGAAGGCATGTATCCGGGCTGAGACCAAGTTATGAATGAGAACTGAACGAGAAAGATAGTGCACCCAGGTGACTTTTTGCTGAGTGTCGGAGAGGCCATGCTGCCCAGAGACACCTGGAGGACACTCTGGGACAGAGCCAGGACTGGACAGGTGTGAGCCCCTGCTAGTGACTTATGTCCTGTCTAGCCCCACTGGCAACAAACCTAGAAGGAACACAAGAATAAGAGAATTCTACTCTCCAGGAGAGGCATGTTAAATTAATGAATACAAAAGCCATTTATACTGTCCACCTAAGACAGGGCTGAAACTGGATTCTAAGCCAATTAAGAGAAAAATGAAGCTGAGTATTTTTTCAGGCATCTGTTGGCTGCTCGTATGTCTTCTTTTGAGAAGTGTCTATTCACAATAGCAAAAACATGGAACCAACTGTGATGCCCATCAAAAGGGGACTGGGTGAAAAAAATGTAGTACATATACATGATGGAATGTCATGCAGCCAAAAAGAAGAACAAAATTATAAACTCCACAGCCACTTGGATGGACTTAGAGTCTATAATATTGAGTGACGTGTCACAGAAACCAAGAACTGAATACCACCTGCTCTCACTCATGAGTGGACCTTCAGCAATTATCACAATACAGTAAGAAATGGAGGGGCAGTAGTGGGAAACTACTGTTGGCCGGGGGAACACACCTCACCAGCAAGGGTCGCTGCATCATGAGCATTTCCATACCTGACCCTGAACTGTAACCCACATCTTTGAAAGAAAACATTTTTTTAAGAAGAGTAAAAATGTTTCTTGACTGTTTTCCACATGGACAGAGACTGTTCTAAGCACTCTGCATGGACTCACCCACTTACTCAAGCCACAGAACTCAATGCAAGAAAACACACTTACCTTTGTCTTCAGAGAGTCTAGATAGCTACAGAGGATCTGGTTGGCCTTTCATGGATAATTTTGTACACTACTTTTGATCTAATCGACACAAAACTTTGAAAAATTAATACTAGCAAATAAAAGCTGCCACACTGCTTGAGAATGTCTCAGTCTTTTTCGGAAGTGAAATAAACTCAACATGGATGACAGGAGAGGCGAGGCAAGCTTCAAGGAGCCCCGGAGGAGACAGACGGGAGTGCAGAGATTGCGAAGGCCTGGGGGGCCCCCACACTCACCTGGCTGCCTTCCTTCTGCCAGAACACCGCCGGCTGTGGGTTCCCTCTCGTTTCACAGGGGAAGGTCACCGTTCGACCTTGAGCCACAATCTGATCTCTCGGCCGAACCACAAACTGTGGAGGGGCTATAATTTAAAAGGAAAGAAAGTGTGTGAGTATCCACCACTGACAAAGACAAAGAGACCAGGGAGAACACCTGGTACTGTGTTAATGGTTCCATGCCCGAGAGGGGTCACCATTTATTTACTTTTACACATTTTTCAAAACACAAAGAGAAAGACATTCTAGTCTATCAAACATGAAGAAGGAAGCAAACTTATTAGCAGACACAGTTTGAATGCTGTACATTATAATCCTGTGGTCTATTTCTACTTGCATGGGAAATTAGATTTTTTTAAAATGATTTTTACTTTTTTTCTTGAGTTGGGAGTCTCACTCTGTCACCCAGGCTGGAGTTCAGTGGCACACTCACAACCACCACAGCCTCGACCTGCTGGGCTCAGGAGATCCTTCCACCTCAGCCTTCCAAGTAGCTGGAACCACAGGCGTGTGCCACCATGCCTGGCTAATTTTTTTATTTATTGTAGAAACAAAGTCTTGCCAAATTGTCCAGGCTAGTCTTGAACCCCTGAGCTCAGGCAATGCTCTTGCCTCCACCTCCTAAAGTGCTGGGATTACAGGCATGAGCCACCCCACCTGACCAATTTTCACATTTTGAAGGAAAAAGATGGATTTTCCGTTGGTGCTGCTTTTTAAATAGATACAAACAGAAAAGAATTGCTGTCTTACTCAACATGTTCTTCCTCTAAAATCAATCTATTGGCAAGCATTAATTGTTTGTGTAATAATTGCAAGAACTGTATAAGGCTCAGGGATACCAGAAGGAATACAATATGATCACTACTCTTAAAGTGCTTCTATTCCAGAATTCAAGACTCCAAGGATTAAAGACGTGAAAGAATTGAAGAGATGAGAATTGCATACAAAGCTAACTAACAATATAAATAAATGTATTAAAATGCTTGGTTCAATCTAATTTACTTAATTTAAGACAGATAAATGTTAGACAATTATACATTTTCCTACTGGGCATTCAAGATACAGGGATGGAAAGTATCTAACCTGCGGCCATCAAGGAGCTCATAGTCTACAGGAAATTTTTAAAAAACAACACAATGACAGCAACAAAAACAAAACTAATTCAGCACTCATCTCATCTAGGACTGCCATAAGTGCCGTGCTGGGGTGACCTTGAAGCATAGTGGCGGAGAACTCCAGTCACTGAATAGAAAAATAGATGGAACAGGACCATTCTGGAGAAAGGAGGCCCTTTCTCCTTTCTGCGATAGCTCTGAAAGGCTTTGTGTAGGACATGGACCTCATGGGAGCTTCATGGAAAGGGAGGCATAATTTGATCGGTGAAAAAAAAAAAAAGGAGCACACTTCCAAGAGGTAACTGAGCAAGGTGAGCAGTGAGAAGACACAGAGCAGAGAGCGTGCCGTTGGCAGGAGGGAGGGGCCCCGCGATAGAGACGTCGTGGGCGGCAAAGGAAGGCTTAAGAAGCCAGAGTGAGGGTCTGATTCTGGCTTTTCCCAAGCTGAGAAGTGACAGGTGGAAGGCAGAATGTGGGGAAGCTCTAATCCTCTGGTGGGTGTGCTGTGGATTGGAGAGGGAGACGCGGAGACCGTGTCACAAGTCACTCCAGTAGAAAAGAAAGGTACGGGGGTGAGTATGCCAAGCAAGCTCAGAGGCAACTTGCATCCTGAGGACACAGAGCGAGAAGTAGCGAACCACAGTGGACAGCAAAACGGGAAGCTTTCCCAAGGCATCGACTTCCTACCAAAACCCACTTTTGCTGGAAAGGAAACTGTGTTTATTCTATAACTTTTCCAATCGTTCATTTTCACTTTACCTAGTTGCTGATGCTAGAAAACAAAGACCAAAAACACGGAAAATCAACTCTAATTTTTAGAGCCTGGTGGAACTCTAAAGCACTCTAATAGTAAGTGATGTCTGATAAAAAGCCTTTCCTTGGAATTCTTTCAGTCTTGAGAAGAAAGTAATGCAGGTTCAAGCATGGAGTAAATGTAAGGTGGCCCCAAACATACAACCAACTGCTTATTTTTACAAGAATGCTAGCCCAGAAAAAACAGCAGCATTTTTTTTTCAAAAAATGACTTTTTTTTAGGTGTTCTATTACACTGCATTCATGTTCAACATACCCAACACACACCTCAGGGACAGAAGGAATAAATCTACTAAGCAAAATTTTATTCTATAGCTATAGATAACAGAAGACTCCTTCTAGTAGTATGGAGAACCCAGATTTATGAATCTATTTGAACAGAGTATGGTTTATGTTGCCTTGCATTTTCAGGAGATTACTTGCTTCTTGCAATCTTCTTGTTATTTCTATACAATTCTACTGAATCAGCAGATACATTGATTTTTGTTCCATGTTTTCTAATAGAAATGATAGTTTAAATCAATGTTACAAAATTACTTTAGAAAAAAACTCTTAAAACACCACAGTGCTCATGTTTCAGAGGGGATATGAAACCACCAGGTATTTGTACCAAAAAAAGTCTTAAGGTTGGTTTCTGTCATCTGTCATACTGTAGAAAAATTATGTATGTATGACAAAGAATGAGTGTATAGTTCTTTACTTCTTTGCAAAACTATGGAAGAAAAGTAATAGTACCAATATGAACACTTGCTAAGTGAGGCATGTTGAGTAATTTAATATGCACCTCATTATTAAAAATTAAAAACTCAGTTCAGTCAAATTCAGTTATTTCACAGTCTGTAATAAAAGTTATATATTCAGCTTCTTAGTTAATTTGAACCGCCTTGGGTCAGAAAAAAATTTAAATGAACTCACCTAACTAGTTAGTAAAATATTTGCATCCTGGGTAATCTATACAGTCCTTCCCTATATAATTTTTAAAATATAATAACTGAGAATACTCATGGCTAAAATCATCAGAGGAAACACAGCATGAAAGAATGAAATATAATCATACCTTCTACATTTTAGAGTTTTAAGCATATTATTCTTCAGCTATTTACCACTCATCTATTTCAGCAAGACTATCATCTGTGCTTGAGATATAACTACAGATTTCCATGCATTTGGTTTTCACATTTCTGAAAATTTCTTCTGGCAGATGAGTGGCTTTGCAAAACGCGTTTGGCATCCAGATTCTACAATTTTAGCACAGCTGCTAAAATACAATCCCCAGAACAGGACTGGGAAGTGGCCACAATCTCTGCATCCACCTCTTCTGAACGGACACAACTTGTTCATCTATTCCTTCCAAATGGACTGACCGACTACAGAAAATGAGACGTTCTGCTTGGTACAGGAGATGGGAAACCAAATAAAAAGTGTGCCTGCCTGGTGGCAGAGACTTCCAGGTAAACATACCTCCAAATAAACAAGTGTCCCAGAATATGATTTTGGGGTTGCAGTAGACAAATGCAGAGGGCACCAGGACAGAGGGTGGAACAAAATCAGGTCGGGCTGTGCGGTGAGGACAGGAGAAGCGATTTGCCAGGAGACAACTCCCAGGCCGGGCCTCCAAGGACAAGCCGGTGCTGGCGAGCGGCAGGAAAGCAGGGCTCCTGGGACAGAGCAGAGGCCCAACTCTGGGCTCGGGAGGGCTGGAGGAGCATGGAGGCGAGAGAACCTGGGCCCCAAGGTGACACGAACAGGCCTGATAACCCCCCATGCCCTACGAGGACGCTCTCAAAGATGGGTTCCCAAGAAAGGCATCAGGTTCGTATTTTGAAAGAACGCTCCGAAGTGGTGTCAGTGACGCCTGGAGAGAGGGCAGAGGCAGAGGGAGGGAAGCCGTAGAAGGCTCAGGCAGAAAGTACAGGGGCCATCACTGTTCAGAGTCGCACCCGAAAGAACCCTCTCGGTATCACAATGCACTTCTCCGAGGCCGACAGTACAATCTACAGAGGCCAGCAAATCATAACTTCCTGAACTTCTACCCAATATAAAATTTGTTTAAGGGCCACCAGCAAAAAGCTGACAGAATCTGTTACTTACCCTACAGAACATCTTTTCATTTGATGCTTACTTATATTGTGCTTTTATTCCAAGTTACTGTAACTGTGGCATATTGCTACCACCAGAGCCTAAGACACACTGATCTCACTGGGATCGAAATTGTCTTTTCGTTTTAAAACTAAAGCCAGTTAAAAATGAGAAACACTTGTCAAAGCAGAAAAAGGAAGAGTCTGCGAGAACTTAAAGTGTCTATCTCCTCCTGGTGCCACCAAAGGTGGGGGGCTTGCTTTCTAGGCTGGGATCTGCATCTCAATCTTCTGGAAGAATCTCAGCTGAGGGAATTTATCTTTGAGGTTTTTAGATGCAAAACTCCATCAACAATTCACACAGTGTTACATCCCACAGCTTCAGAACTTCTGCCGGGTGTGGCGAGGATGGTCTGAAAGGAGGCATTTGGCCGAGGCCACCAACCAGTGGGGGAAGGGACAGGCATGGCATCTCACCAACAAGGTGTAGCAGCACAGCGTGTGCGGTCTGTACAGAGTGTTCCTACAATGGCTCTTGGTGCAAGGAAGAACTGCTGTTCTAGGTCCTCAGGGAGACGGTTCGCAACACACGTTTAAACCCAATGGGAATGAAAGAGATTGAGGTGCAGACTCCAGAAGAACATGCTAGTTACACAAATGACAACTCTACATGCTTCAAAGACGGGGAGTATAAAATACAAACTTATATTCTCCCCAAACCTGAACGCAGTAGGTGAATCTTCTGTAACTGTGATGTACTAACCTATTGCTTAATTTCTCGTTGCTTCAGCTATAACAAGAAACAAGTGGTGGCAAACAGAGTGGCACAATTCTGTATTTAATCAACACGTATGCGTTAAAAAAACAATAATTCTGAAAGAAAAGTTTGCCGTGTGCTTTCCAGAGACGCTGACCCAAATTTAAAAGGTCAATTAAGATGAGAGATCCGGGACAGCTCACTTGAAGCCGTGTTTTGAGAACATAAATACAATGCACGGTGAGTTGGATTTAATTTCTACTAAATGAGGCTTTGATACTACGTTCAGCCCAGGCTGGCCGCCATCAAAGGCACACTGCAGC